GAGGAAAACAAATAAGAGGAACAATAACTAATTAAGATGTCATGCATCAAATACATAAGTCGTGTCTTAAGGAAAAGAACAAAAACCAGGTGTTTTATTGAGGCCTGGAGTTGCAGTTCGTTGGTGAATTGCTTGTTTACCATACCAACGGAGGTCACTGCCTTTGATCCCAGAAACATGACAAAAAATGAAAAGAGGAAAAAAGTTACACTCATAAAAAAATGAATAACCTATTCATAAACAGTAACTAAAATGAGCCTCTGTGTAGTACATTACAGACGCTGTGGAAATAACCACAAACTTCATAACATAAAAAGTGAGATTTTATTTCAAGTAAAACTTATCTCTTCCTCTAGATAATTGAGCTAATGTACCACAGGAAGAAAAAAAAATCTTGAAGATGTTTGCTGAAGGATTTTTTTTTTTTCTTTAGCATCTCACTTAGAAATAGGTTTTACAGCCAGGCAGTGGTGGCTCACGCCTTTAATCCCAGCACTCGGGAGGCAGAGCCAGGTGGATCTCTATGAGTTCGAGGCCAGCCTGGACTACCAAGTGAGTCCCAGGAAAGGCGCAAAGCTACACAGAGAAACCTTGTCTCGAAAAACCAAAAAAAAAAAAAAAAAAAAAGAAAGAAATAGGTTTTATACAAAGAAGCCATACAAGGACCCTCAACCTGAGCATCACATATTGAGGTAATGGCACTACAGGGCTCTATTTTCCTAAATATGAGAAAGAAGTTAGTAGATGAAATCCATAATATAACAATGTGGAACTGCCTTTGTTCAATGTGTTAACTCATAACATGTTAATCACAAACAACCCAGGGATAATAATTAGAGCTTTAGCTGTAAAATTTGCTTTGATTATAGAAACAATTATCAACCATTCCCAGTTAGTTATCTATATGGAAATAGCAACAGAAATGGGAAGAACCATCAAAAATGATAAGGAAAATTCTAGAGATTATGGGCAGAGCATGCTTATGTTTACAGTGGGAAATTGACCATTTGCTTTCCATTTACCTAAATCTCTAAAGTCTATGTAATACACATTTAGTGTATAAGATAGTTTATATAAGTGTGGGTGTGTGCACATACATATCTGTGTTTATGTCATGAAAATGGTCTCTGATTGTACAGAAAAAGATCAATTGGGCTTACAGGAATCAGACATATTGTTTGTTCAGATGAATCACAGCCACAGCTCCAGACCTGGATGCATTTAGAGAAATAAAACTAAAGCCACAGTTTATCTGAACATTCAGCTGATAAAGACACATGGCTCCAGGATGATCTCCCCCAGTGACTTTTTTCCAAGTTGATATCCCTACTCTTGGAGGGATAGGATGACTGGGAAAGGCTGAGAAAGCTAAGAAAATCTAAAGGCTCATTTAAAAAAGAAAGATGTAGTGTTTTAGTTAGGTTCAGGGGCACAAACCTTCCGAAGAAATACAGAAGAAATGCAGCCCTTTCCATCCAAAGTATTCAGTTTTTCATCAATAGCAAAAGTTTTAGGAGAACCGAGGGAAAGCCAAGGACAAGGAGAATACCTCAGATTTCTAACTTGGGAAGGCGTGATTGAATCAGTTCATGAAAGAAAGTCTTTTGGAAATGAGCAGTGATATCTCAAGGGGGATACAGAACAGTCGGAGGAAGACAGCAGGTTGTAGGTGGTAGAAATGGACTGTCAGATGCAGGTGTGTATGTCAGTAGAGTAAGCCTGCAGTGGGTTCAGTGATGGGAGGGAGTCTCTGTAGGTGCCGAAGGAGCTGGTGTGGACCTGCAGGGTCACTGTCCACCAAGTGGGTTCAGGCTTTTTCTTCTTCAAATTAGACAAGTTAACACATCATTGTTTTATAGTTACTAATGATTTAGCTGTCTCTGTTGGCTGTTTTGAGAAACTGGCTAATACATATGCAACAAATGACTGGCCAGAAGTAGAAGTCATCCCCTGTAGAGACCTTGCCATCTCTGGGGACCCTGTCAATGTCTGTGACCTCAGGCTAGAAATCCAACACAGGAAGAGATTCACAAAGACTGACATGTATGAGCACAAGCTGCTTATTACTCCACAAAGCAGTGTTCTAGGTAAAACTGTCTTAGAATAAAAATTGTTCACCTGTATCTCTAGAGAGATGCCTAAAACTCTGTGTGAAAAGTGTAAGGTATCATTTGGGTCAGTTTGTGTGTGTGTGTGTGTGTGTGTGTGTGTGTGTGTGTGTGTGTGTGTGTTCCTAAATGTAACGTGCTTGCATTATTGATTTGTGTAGTGGTACTTGTATGTATATGTTTTCAAAACTGACCATTTCGTATCACATCTTCTGAGAGGACTATTTCTCCCACTCTGAGCATTCCTTAGTTGCCTGTAGCTTTTGTGTAGGTTAAGCTTCCTCCTGCCCTCTCCTCATCCATATTAGCATGACTATTGATGCTTGCTGTTTCACACTGTGTTTAGGCAGTCTTGTTGATGAGACATTAGGATGTAGCTTCTGATACTTCTAGGAGACAAAAGCTCACAGCAAACTCCTAGTTCCTCCTGCTCCTTTAATCTTTCTGCCCCATCATCTAAAATGATCCCAACCCTTAGGTGGAGGCATTGTGTGTGTGTGTGTGTGTGTGTGTGTGTGTGTGTGTGTGTGTGTGTGTTTCGTTCTTTTTACTTACTTTAATATATTCAGCTCACCTAGTCTGATAGGTCTTCTGCTACATTTGCAATTTATCAGTCTTTTTACTCACAGTGTGTCTCAAAGCACTTTGTGAGGTATTTGTTTCTCTGTCAGGTCGAGTTATCTTGTTTAGAAATGGCCGAGTCTCTACAAAGCCCTGTCTCGGACATTCTGTTTGGTATGGTTCCCAGGCACTGAGGCTAGACCACTGGGCACCTGTAACTTGTTGCTGAGACAGACTCTTTAATAGTTTTTCCACAGCTCTAATAACGTAGGCTAACATGGAAAGGGAAGAGTATTTTATAACACCAATTAAAGGCATTTACCAACATTGTAATCTTGACAAAAAACATTATACACATATTTTTAATAATAAGGAGTCTAATCTAAAGTAATCTCTTTGATTTTGAGTCATTTGACATTGTTTGAAACATGTTCTTGTACTCTTTCTCTGGGATTTATCATATACCTGAAATAATTCTCACTTTAACAATGAATATTCATGTGATAGGCTTAAAATGAGTTAAAATGTTATTTTTTCCTTAATTAATCAGGAATACATTTATAAACAGTTCCCTAAGTTCCACTTGCTAGGACACCACTTGGGGGAATAAGCATTAAATTTTTCTTTTTCTATTTTAGACTGCCAGCATGCATTTTAACAGCCTTTCAAAGATTATTCTTTGTGCTTTACAATTGAAAAGCAAAGAAAGTAATTAATTTAAATATTATGCAAAGAATATATAATTTGTTGACTTCTTCATTAAGTCTGAAATGATTCTGTCACACAGAAACTGGGGTAAATGTGAAAAGTGAGCAAGCCGTCTCACAGCGAAAATGAAAAGCCTTTGAAACTGCCACTGCTCCCCCTAGCGGTAGAAAAAAAAAGATGCATGTTTCTGGCTTGCCAGTCAATCATCCTTGAGAGAAAACTTTCAGGGTGAGCGGAATTCAGCACAGTAGTTTTGCAGCAACTACAAAACACAATTGAATTAATAAAAGAGACAACTACTGTTTAGCTTTTGAACCTTGAGTTATATGAATATATCTTTATGATTTAAATGATTGCAAAATATTTATAAACAATAACTTCCTTTAGGCTTGGTGCAAAGACTGAGAAGTTAATTTCATACCGAATACTGGATAATATAAACCAACTGTCTGCTTTGCCAATCTGGATTTTCCACTTAGTAATTTTTACATGATTAGTGTTTTTAAAAAATTAAACAAATTTCAGAAATCTTTGCTTTCAAATATTCCTATCCGTCACACCAATTCAGAACATGTCTTGTGTTATCAAGTAATGAATGCAGAATAAAGCTACTGCCCCAAAAGGTATTTGAGCAATTTCCTTCCAAGACCCAAGAGAAGGAAAGAATAGCATTGTAACTCGCAAATTACCTGAAGATTCTTAGAAATGTGACTCTGGCAGATAATGGCTGTATAGAATATGTTTCTTTCTGAAAGGAGAATCTCACTTTTACAATAAAAAGAGGATTAAATGGAGAGGGGCCAGTTGATAGAATGCAGAAAAACAGTGAGCATGGGATTATGAAAACAAAGGAGAGAAGGAGATACCGCATCGGTATCAAGAAAGATCTAAACAATGCAGTAACAGTAAGTAAGAAAAATTATGAATGGGGGCATTATTAATACATCAATTCATAGTTTACCTTCTAACACATGACCTACTTATGTCTTTATTGTCTAAACATTTTTTAAGCATCCATTAAAGGCCAACATATGTAATTTAGTCTTTCCTCAATTACATATAATAAACACTTAAACAGTGGGAATAATACTATTCATTGGATCTCATATTCTTTTTTTTAACTGATTGTTTTACATTTTTTGAGTTGTTTTGTTATCTTATTATTACATCCGATTTTTGCCTATTTCCATTTCTAGTTTAGCATGTGCCATGTAAATTCTGAATGAGTTTTAAAACCACAAAACATTTTCTCTGAAGTTTATATCAAGCTGTATTTCAGTCTCCCAAGCATAAGGAATCAGTGGCTTTGCCCTAGAGCTTTTGCTTAAATATTAGGGATAAAAAAAAATCACATTTCCAGAAATCAAAATGACAAATTTCGTGGAGTGGGGGCATGAGAGAAAAATGAGGAAAGAATGGCACCAGGAGAGCTTAGTATGCTGTATATGGCAGTGCTTTTGAACAACTCTTTCCGTGAGTCAGAAAAATCTGAGCAACAGCTGCAATTAGGGAAGATCGTCACTCTCAATCAAGGTTCATGGGTGGGGGATGAGATGAGATGAGGGACAAAGGGGAAGGAGGAGGGAGTGGGGAGGGGAGGGGAGGGATGAAAATGAAGGCTGGGCACATCCTGTACACTCATGACATCATCCTCCTGCTCATATATATATATGGGGAATGGCCAGAGCATCTTTCATAGTTCACTCACTTTCAAAGCCAGCTGAAGGCAAGAGAGAGCACCAGAGAGCTCCTTCAGTGTCTTTCTGACTGTCTGCACCTGCTTGTCAGAAGGCTGAAAGATGATGGCAGGAATGAACATCCAGCTGGTGTGCCTGATGCTTCTGGCTTTCAGCTCCTGGAGCCTGTGCTCAGGTAAGCTCAACTACATCTCACAACTCCCTGAAGTGATTTCTCTCACAGTCTGATGCTACTCAGGTTAATGAATCCAGGAGGAGTCTCTCTCTCTCTCTCTCTCTCTCTCTCTCTCTCTCTCTCTCTCTCTCTCTCTCTCTCTCTCTCCCTCTCCCTCTCTCTCTCTCTGTCTTTCTAACTGCCTTTTAGTGATAGAAACTGTGAATATCACGTTTCTCTCCTGTTCTGGTTATAACAACTGAAATGTTTATTTTCCTTTCAAGAATCTGTAAAGCAGTAAGTGTGGTTACAAGGAAATAAACCATATTCATTCTCCTTTGGAATATCACCACTAAAGAGAAAATAAATAAGAGTCCTAAATCAAAGATAAAAATTTGAATTGGGCTGGTCATGACTGAGAATAGCAGTGCTTGTCAGCATGCAGACATAAAACATCACATTCACAATCTTTCATTCTCATCTTTTCTCATTCTCTTAGGTGACTTCTCTCATTCACTTACCTTTGTGATTTTCCTCAAATTATTTTTGACTCTATTTGTGTGTTAGGACATGGGAAATAAATATCAATAAGTAAATGAGTGAGCATTATTTTTACAGAATATTATTTCTAATGCAACACAAAATGCCCCAAGTCCTTTCTGAAAGTATATTTTATGGTCTTTCATTGTTACAGAGTCGTGATATTAAATATTGCTGTTGCTTTTTCGAATGTAATTTAAGAAGGCACAAACTATAGCCATAAAATTGGTATACTTATATTTATAATAAAATTTAGCTCTAAAGTGTTTTGTACATAACAGTAAAGGGGGAGGAATGTATTATTATCAGATATGTATCAAGTCTCCTTGAAAATAAGATACATTTAAAAGAGTAATGTGAAATATTTTGATGATTGCAGTGTGTTTTAATTAATAATTGAAAACAATTGAACAAACACATTCATAGTGGAAAATCTTATGGGATCAATGGAGTAAAATCACTTAACTTATACTTGTAGATATTATAGTTAACAATTGGGACCCGGGATTGTTAGTTCAAACCCCTGCTAGGATCGACGAGTACGAAGATAACTCTATCAGCATGGAATGTGATTTGTTGAGAACTATTTAATTATTTTATTAACATAATACCCTGTAAATATTTTATGAGAACTATATAGTTTTCTGTAACCATGATTTTATTAAATAGTTCCTGAAAATAGTCATAATCAGAGATTTGAATGTAATTAGAGATTAAAATAGGTTACTGATTAAAAACTATATCAATTCAAATCATTTTCTGTGACAAATGCACAATTTCATCGGTGATTAATACAATTAATTGCAGTATTCATTTTGAAAAACAACAAACATGTATTTGTAATAAGCCGAGCAAAAGGGTCTCAGGAATAACTTAGTTATTACATGCACTTTATCAGTGGGTTGCATCAGGTGGGACCCTGTGTTTTAAAGACTACGGAGTAGAAGCTAGGGCAATTTTAAGCTCTGCCTTGTTTTTATCATAAGAGGCTAGTGGATATTAAAATGCTCTACAACTGTTTAGTATTTCTAAATTCTGCTTCTCTGTACAACGCTCATAAATGGAGTCATGGCAAATGTGCTCCGAAATGAATTAGGGATCTGTTTTCAATACTACTCACCATGTGTTGATGGAGACCTCTGCCTTTGCTTCAGCCGTTCCCTCACTTGCTTATGAGAAAATTGAAAGCACACAATTCAAAGCTCTTACTTGAAACAGAAACTGATTCCTCCAAAGACTGTTTTATGAAATGACATTTGTAGTGAAGTGAATCTCAGTATCATTTTTATTCTAAAATTACCAGTGAGTAATTCCCTATGGCTTTGCCAGGAAATAAAAAAAAAAAAGAAGAAAAAAATGACACTTGTATTTGTATTTTATTTTGTTCTTTATTCCACACTTATTTTCTATATGTTGAAATACTGATGGTAAGAATGAGACCTACTGCAGCATATTTGCTGAGGTCTATATTATACAATATAATTAAATGTTTTACTGAGACTCAGAAATGAAAATTCTAAATCACGAATACTTTGCTTAGCACATTATCATGTGCTCATTTTCTTAGAAGCGATTCTACTACTGTAGCTGTTAGCAGAAAATTATGCTGTGGTGTGTTTCTCTATGAATACTGCTTTGAAGGAATTATGTGCAGAAGACAATAAGCTTCAAAGACTGATTCTTTAAATTAATTTGAAATACTTTGGTTGCAATATAATTACAGGATGTGTGATTGCATAGTAAATGTGTGGTTTTGATTTTATTCAGACTCAGAAGAGGACATGAGAGCATTAGAGGCAGACTTATTGACAAACATACACGCATCAAAGGTAATTGTTTTCTTTTCTTTAATCCAGGCTTGAAGGACATGTGAATTTCCACTCTAAACATGACATTATTTTCTTATCTTAATCAATATAGGTATAGTTACCTATCACAAAACTGGAAAGGTCTTTGGGAGACATTTCCTATTTGAAAGATTTCATTATTTTCCTTTCAACCTTCCTAATGCTGCAACCTTTTAGTACAGTTCCTCTTGCTGTGGCAACCCAAACCATAATATTATTTTCATTGCTACTTGATAACTCTAGTTTTGCTACTGTTATGAATTGCAATGTAAATATATTTGGAGCTAGAAGTTTGCCAAAGGGTTTGTGATCCACAGGTTAAGAACCAATGTTCTGAGGAGTCAAACGTGTTGATATAAAAGAGAAAATATCTATAGGACTGTCAGTTTGTATATTTCAATTTTAATTAAGCAGCCACAGAGAATGTTATAGAGACAGAAAAACATACTTACATTGTTTCCATGATTACTAGACTAGCAGGGTGAAAGGTATATGGGCTTCCAGTTAAATAAACAAGTGAAATCTAATTAAAGTTTTTTATTTTACATGTTTTTGTTAGTTGTGGAAAAAAAGTGTTTCCTAAAACATGGTATCAAGGTAATATAGGGAGGAAATATGGCATAGAAGAAAGCTATGGACATGCAAACATTAACCTTGAGATCCAGTCCTGAAACCACCACTTCTGGTCTATAATGCTACTGTGTTAGTCAGCAAGACTGGTCTTGGCTTTTCAAATCTTTTTAAGTGCAGTGATTGGAGTGTAGAACCTAGACATTTATGACTCTCTGATGGGTTATTATAAACTCTACTACCTTTGACAGAGTTTACTTTCTCGTTCCCTCAAAATTGTTAGCTATAGATATTTAATTTTATTTAATTTATATAACTCAGTGAAGTTCTGTATTCTGAGCAAAATTTTGAAAGCCTTTTGAAACACCTTTTCTAGTTACCAACCTTTGCCTGGGAACAAAACTGGTAATATATCACATTACCACTCTACCCTATGAAATTAATTGATTCAGAGTTAGTGAATCATTGTGTATCAAAATTGATGGTTAGAATACAGGTTTCCAATGAAAAGATAGGGAATTGTTTTAAGATTAATTCATTCCTTTATACATACTGAGTTAAAAACTGTAGTAGCAAGGTTGGAAATTAATTAAGACACTGACCTAAACTCTGAAGCAATATTCTAATTAGTTCTTCAATACAGAGCACTTCCTTAGTTGAATGAGCATATTCTAGGTTCAAAAATCTCTAGTATGCAAAGGCAATTTTATTGTGTTTGACACTGAGCAGAAAAGACAGATATGTACTTTGCATGTTTGTGATTGAGAGTACATGATAATATTACCTTACAACTATTGAAGATGTGTGTTCTGAGAACATGTGAGAGTTTGGGTTACTCTCTCTGACCAAGAAAATGCAAGAAAAAAAATTCAATATCTGGAACAGTGTCGTCTTTTCCACTGAAGAAAATATGGTGCAATGGTGTAAATTCAATCGGTCTAACGTAGTTCAAGATGAAGTATTTATATTATATTGCTTCATTTCAGCTGAGATAAATAAGACACAATCTTTGATGAGAAAGGTATCCAGACATAAAAAATTTTGGTGCTAGGATAAAAGTAAAAAGCACAGCTTATGTTTTGCTATGACATCACTTTATCATTCATTTCTGTCACTCAATCATCTTTGTATGTAAATGAGAACTCTCGATATATGATCACCTTAACCAAATGACTGCATTTAAAACTCTAATGAGAAGAATATTTGATTCTTTTCTTGCAATGCCATTATTACAAGCTCCAGAGATCATGAGCCTTCCTCTTCCCTCTTTTTAAATCAAGTATGTGAACAATTTCTATTTTAGGATAGAGTTGTTTAGACATTTGAAAAGCAATTACTAAAACTATCTAGGTAACGGGAGCTCAAGTGAATGGCTAAATTAAAATAGCAGACCCAGGAGTATTTGTTTGTTGTTCTCAATATACACACACACACATATAATCATCACTGGCATTGAAGTGTACTTTAATAAAAATTAGTTCCAGTAAAGCATGTTTTTATTGGAAGCTAACTATATTATTGTTTGTAATCAAACTCAAATCCTTATATATGGTAGGAGTTCAATGCATGTTTATGAATAAGCAACTGGAATCCAAGATCTGTTGCAAGCTCTCATATTTTTAGTCAGATGTAAATTTTAGAGCTAGATGACACCTGATGACTTCAGTTACTTGCACTTTGCTGACATCCCAAGATTCACCACCTGCTAAGTTGATCTCAGTTCAGTGAATCATGGGTACTGAGGGTTAACGATAGCTCTTTGGTCACATTTAATAATGAAACACACATGACAAGGACTATAGTTAGAATTTGTTATTTAGACAGAAAACTTTTTCCAAATATATTATCAAAAACATGTCTATTCCATTCCATTCTAGTCTAGTCTAGTCTATTTTCCACTAATCCACATACACATTCACATATAAGATTTAAGGATATCTATTTTAAAAACCTTTCCATTTCCTTGAATGCTAATGACAGTAGAATGTCCGTTTAAAATAGTGGAGGTGTGTATATAGTTTTCACTATAAGCATCACCACTGAGATAAAAAAAGAAACAGACTAAGCAGGTTGCATTTATATGTATTTGTGCATATGCATACACAAGTATACGTGTATGTTTACAAAAATAATAATCAAAGAAAAAGAGGCCATAAACTTAAGAGTAGAGGGAGACATGGGAGGTATTCAAGGGAGGGTATCTGAGAGAGGATGGAGGGAGGAAAGGGCAGGGAGTGATGTAATTCTATTTTAATTTAAAGTATAATTTTAAAATGGTTGAGGGCAGAAGCAGTGTTCCAATGAACTAATTTTAGGAAAACACTGAGATAGAAACTCTCTAAAGAACTTTCTAATTGTAAAATTGAAATAACCTATGAACTGGTAAGGTACGAGATATTAGTGAAATTAAATGAAGAATGCTTCTTCTAAAATATCCTACTAACTCAGAACATTGCATGCAATGGCTGGATAACCTTGTTCAAGGCAGGTAGTAGAAAGGATTACAAGCTTTTTGAAAACAGAGTGAATATCCTCATACTCAGATTTTAATATCTGTGAGTTAAGAGTATAATAAAAAAAGAGATTCACACACTCAAGTTTTATTGCAAGTAGAACTTAAAATATAATGGTTTTAACATAACCAATGCATATTTCATACTCCACTAACAGACTTTAATTGTAATATCTTTTTTTTTCAATATTTCAGATCAGTAAAGCAAGTCCTCCCTCTTGGAAAATGACCTTGCTAAATGTGTGCAGCTTTATAAATAACCTGAACAGCCCAGCAGAGGAAGCAGGAGAAACGCATGAAGATGATCTCGTTGGAAAAAGGAAACTTCCCCTTGTTCTAGATGGCTTTAGCTTGGAAGCAATGCTGACCGTATTCCAGCTCCAGAAAATTTGCCACAGCAGGGCTTTTCAACACTGGGAGGTATAACAGAAATTTAGATGGGCATGAGAGTCATTGTAGTAGTGGGATCTCATTTGTATTCAGTTCTATACCCTCATAAAAGCATAGTAGGGAGACTTACAAATACTAGAAAGTAATGAATCCTACTTTGAGACCTTTCTGGACTACATAGGCCAGCCAGGGTTACACAGCTGTTAAGACCTTAACTTCAAAATGTCCTGAAAATATTTGGAGATGAACAAACTTTTTTCTTCCATCTTAAAATGTTAATGGTAGGCCGGGCGGTGGTGGCACACGCCTTTAATCCCAGCACTCGGGAGGCAGAGCCAGGTGGATCTCTGTGAGTTCGAGGCCAGCCTGGGCTACCAAGCGAGTCCCAGGAAAGGTGCAAAGCTACACAGAGAAACCCTGTCCCGAAAAACGAAAAAAAAAAATGTTAATGGTATATATGAAGCACATTTAAACCATATATGTAAATGATGAAACACTGACATAATTTCTTCATTATATTGGTAATAGTGATATGTATCAAGAAATTTAAGTCAATCCAACCTTTATTCCTAAAATAAAAAATTATGCATAATTATCTATAAACAAACACAATGCAAATTTTCAAAGAAAAGAGTAAAAATCCAAGGTTTCTAGTTGCCACTCACAGACTAGCATGTGCATAGGAATTTTTTCAGCTTTTATATTTGATTATTGGGCAAGTACAATATTTCTTAATTTTTCAAATAATATTATATATAATGTATATATGTGTGCACACATACATACATTCACATATGGAAAGGCCTTTTCATTCTATATTAGCAGACAAGTGCTTATAACTTTTATTATCAACATTTCATATCCATATTCCAGCTCTTTTGTCAATTAAGTGTTCTGAAACAGACATCGTTGCGTTAGCCATGGTCCTCTTTGGACTCAGAACTTAAATTCAGAAAAGTGAAGTACCACCCCTTAGGTATATCCAAATTGGATTCTGTTCTCCAAACATTAGCTTTAACTTCAAAATCTACTTTCCTACTGATAAAATAAGCACACAAGACATCATTGAAGGAATGACATTAAGAATGCTGATGTACCTTTAGATTATTTATTCATTTTTTGGGAAAAGGTCTTAACAGCTGTGTAACCCTGGCTGGCCTGTGTAGTCCAGAAAGGTCTCAAACTTGTAGCAATCCTCTCGCCCCCGCCTCCAAAGTGCCAGTATCAATGTGTGTACTACCATGTGTGGTTGACTATCTTAAAAGGGAGAGAAAAAAACTGAAAATGGTGGTAATCTACCAATTACCAAAAGAGCAACACGTTATTTTTTTTATAGTCTTGACATACATTTGACTAAAAAATAAATTGGAGCTTTGGGAAGAAGTAACAAAAATTTGAGCCAAAAGAAGGAAAATGTGGAAGACAACCGAATCTTCCTAAAAAGAAAAATGGATGCTATTACACTTCTCTGATTGGAGAAACATTATTTTTCAGATCAAGGCCTGAGAGGCTTGCTTAATGTTTTAGATTGTGGGCTTACACCAGCATTGCAGATCTGAGGGTGCCCTCTCTGTTAATATAACAAGCCTGTAAGTGGCTGCCACAGAAATACCTCGTGAAAGGAGGAAATGCAGGCAGAACTCCTGGTGTTTATACTAACTGGTAAACATAACTATGCTTTCCAGATGAAAAACCAAAAAGGCTAGTTCAAATTATCTTGTTGTACTCTTCATCCTTTAATTTTAATTCCAGCTAAATGGAACAGTCTTTAAAACACTATTTAGCTCAATAAAACTTGAAAATTCAGATCTTAGCAGAGGGAAATGCCAATTATGCCTTATTTATCCAGAGAAGAAAGACTCCCCCAATAAACTAATTAGCATATAAGTCAACTGAACATAAGCCTGAAACTCTTGTTATTTTAACTGTTGAGTCATTTAAAAATAAAATGATAATATCATTCTGAGTATAGTAGAAGTAATTACAGGCTATAGACTTTAAAGAAAGTAAAGATTAAAAACCTAGATCGCCTGACAGGAGCTGCTTTGCCTTCTCTGAAACTCAATAACTGTGGAATGAAACAAAATACTTGGTGATAGGATGGTATGCATGCACATTACAATTGAAATATCAGTATTCGTTATTGTGATACCAAAGTTTGGGAGACAGCTCTAATCTGAAGAGATCTTAGCAATTTAAATAGAGTTTCCATGTTTGTTGATTGGTACAACATCTAAGATACTTGGAACAGGCAATTCTTTCTTTGTTTAGGAAACTGGTTACTGGCATGACTTTCAAGTCATATCAGTAATCGACTTAAGCCAACCTAAAATCCTGTTATCTTCTTATTCCAACGGATTGTGAGATTCAAAACTATATTTATTGTGATACATTTCACATCATTTTGGACTGCCATTAAATCTTCAAAGCCTCAAAACTAATTTGTAGGTGTCTCTGGTGTAGCCCGTCAGCTGAAAAATATAAACACATTTTTTAAAAGAGGTAGGCTGGTGAGCTGGGGAAGGGCATAAATAATCAGAATGATTATGATCTCATTCCATCTCAGTCATTGATAACCATCTGTCATGGGACAAAATAGTTTCCCTGATCCTACAGGTACATTTTGATTCAAATAAATAGAATACAATGTGGGGAATTATCTGAAGTATATTTCATGCATGTAACTTCCCTTTGTGTTTTCTTTATTTTAGATAATCCAGGAAGATATTCTTGATAATGGCAACAGCAAAGATGAGAAGGAGGAAGTGATAAAGAGAAAAATCCCTTACATTCTGAAAAGGCAGCTGTATGAGAATAAACCTAGAAGGCCCTACATACTCAAGAGGGGAACCTACTATTACTGAGAAGCTGGTTCTTGACCCGTGATTGGGATTGATCACCTTTTATCTAGATATATAATCATATGCTTATCTAGATATATAATTACATGTGTGTGTAAATGTGATATAACTTGATTATTTCATCTCTTCCACTATTGTGGTGTATTGGATGTTATTTTTCTGCATTCATGGAAATTGAACTAAATGTTTTCAAATAAATGTAGATCTTGAGCATGATCCTGTGTTCTGTATAATTGGAACAGATGATAATCATATCACATTGAATGTTCTGTAATTTTGCAAAATATATTATGGGATGTCTGAACAGTCATCACATTTGGCATTTTATAGGAAATCTATAAAAGATGATAACAAAGTTGAGCACACATCAGTAACCCAAAGCAAAACAATGGCACCAGTTTGTCATTTGATTGCTTTATTTTTTTTTTTTTTTTTTTTTTTTTTTTTTTTGGTTTTTCGAGACAGGGTTTCTCTGTGTAGCTTTGCGCCTTTCCTGGAACTCACTTGGTAGTCCAGGCTGGCCTCGAACTCACAGAGATCCGCCTGGCTCTGCCTCCCGAGTGCTGGGATTAAAGGCGTGCGCCACCACCGCCCGGCTGATTGCTTTATTTTTAATTGAAAGAAATATACACTGCTTTGCAAAAACCACTGACTCATCTCTCAGTACAAAAGAAAGTTACTGTCCTGTAAAGGCCCATCTGAAAGAATTGTTAATTAAATGTTGTTATTTATGCTTATCTCAGTGTATCTTTAAGTGAATATTTTGCCTGTCAAATGAAGTTGATAGTTAATAAAATTCAACAAGTCATCAGAATTTAATGCTTTATTTCAGATTTACTTATTTTACGAGAATTCATCTTAATCCCCCCCCCCTTTAAGCTAGAATAGCATATGTGTGTTTTTAAGTGTCACTTAGGGATTTTGTAATTAATATTTTCTTCTCACGGGGAAAGTATATTTAAGCCAATAGCTGAGCATCTAACAATTCCTCTTGACTTTCCTTTAAAATCATAGTTAGGACCTGATATACCTTTTCATTTCACTGTCGTCTGTGACCTTCTAAATTAGTTGTTCCCTTACTGGGTCCAGGAAGACATGCTCTTACAGGACTGTAGTCTATCCATTGATACCCATAACAGATGAATTCAGAGCTCAGCTAAGTTGTCTTCAGAATGCTAAGTCTTTTTTGATGAGATTGTTTTTCTCCAAGCTCAGCACTACTCAGAGGAGGGTTTGTGAGAACCTGACAGATTGTGAAGTTTTCTTCACCAAACTCTTCTACCACTGCCTCTTCACCATCCTTAGAGTCTGTATATCTTAGCATTTCAAGTGTCCACAGAGCCAACCAATAGAGCAAACGCTGTCATGGAGACTAAGAATGTATTCTCAAGTTCAGAATGTCCAGATTGCACTCACTTTGTTTACTGGCAAACATGGGCGACTGTGGCTCTTCTCTTTTGTTTCCTTAGCTGGAAAAAGAGATAAGAGTGCGATTTGAGAAAAGGTGAAATGGTCTGATTACACACATGTTTTAGCATATATTACATAGTACAGATGATTGTGGTGAATCACTTTAAGGATACACTACATTCAACAGTTAATACTTCCAGTTGTACAAATTTTCTCATGATATACCTTCGTGATATATCATTTTACTATCATTAGTAGAGATCCCAATATTCTCCTAGAATACCTTGTAATTTATTTTATTAGCCATGGAAGTCATGTTTCATCTGCAAATTTCTTTTTAAAACCAATATCATCTCCCTTGAGTTCTTTATACCATTTTTACTGATTTTTCCTCTAAAACTCGTGGTCACTATTTTCAACTATTACTCACTTTTCCTCTATACTTTATAACATAGAGTGAAGAAATCTAAACACCTCCATACAATTTTCTTTGCATTTAAAGACTACACGTTGTTCCAAGTATAAGGTATATAGGAAGAAAAAAAAATACAAAATTGTGATGAAAATTATGAGAAATAAGTAAGTGAAGTGTATCATATTTAAGGAATTGAAGACTCATTTCCAAGATGTCAGTTTTTCAAACCTGGTTTACAAACTCAATGCAACTTCCAAATCCTCTCAGTGAGTCATTTAGTGGTAGTGGGCAAACGGATTAGAAAGTTTATATTAAAGACAGAAGATTCAGACTAACAAAATAATACCAAACCACTTATCTTAGCATTCTGACACCATCCTATTTCAAGACTTACCTTAAAGCTATGTTAACCACAGAAGTGTAGCTTTGAAAAATGTATAAAGTAATACATCAATTAAACACCATCGAATGCAGAGATAGATCCAAATAAACTTGGATCCATATAAACATGGCCCTTGGAGAAATGAAAAAGGATAATTCAGTGGAAAAAAAGTCTTTCCAACGAATGTGACCACAATGACTATACAGGCAGATACAATTAAATCTAAACAGAAACCCTATACACTTAAAGACTACTTCAAGATGAATCACAGACCAAAATATAAAACACAAAACTCTAACATTTACAGCACTGGAAAAAATGTAAATTTCTTTAGTTTGGCAATAAATGTTTAGATACAATTCTCGAAGGGATGAAAATGCCAGTGACATACATAGAATTGTTAACATAAATAGAATTTTTTAAAATCTTGAAATCCACATGCAAACAGGAAAGTAAGTAAATAGAATAAACGGCTTTGGAAAAAAAAAATAAGAACAAAGGACCAGTTCATGAAGAAAGGATTGACTTCTTCAACCAGAAAAGTGGCTTGGGGTCTTGTGCATCCTGGACTCTTGCTCTAGGAGCTGCAAGATTTTTCCTGTTCTGCCTATGCACCATACTGCAGGGTCTGTTGGTCCATGGGTTGCTAGTAGGGGAGGGGGAGACACACAGTTTTATTTTCCCAACTTTAATGATGAGGACAGAAGATAGAAACTACTTGGGTAGGACAGGACCCCAAAGCAGCAGTTGAAGGATGTCCTTGCTGGAGGTGTGAACTGCCAGAAGACAATTCTGCTTCCTCATTCCTTTTTATGTCTTCTCTTAAATGAGCACCTACCTAGAACCTATACACGAGGATGTGTCTGAGACCGAGAGAAAGCATTCAGATTCCTCTGGATTTGTTACCGGGGGAATCTGGGGGGCCCTTTGAGGTCACCTCATGTTATTATGGAAGTCAGGGTCCATTTTTAGTTACATTAATAAAAGAACTTAAGAGTTAACTTAAAACTGGAGGGGAGTTTTATTAGAGTCTAAGAGAAAAACAAAACAAACAAACAAAACACACACAAAACAAACAAACAAACAAACAGCTAGCTTTAAGTTCTGGCAGATGCTTGGTGGGGGGAGCTGGAGAACCCAATGGGAGAAAGACATGCTTTTGCAAGAGTTCTACATGAGAAATCAGGGAATGAATGAAAAACCCCAGAGCATCAAGGAAAGCATGTCCAAGATTTGACCAATATCCAAACAAAAGAGATATAGAAAATGAAAAGTTTGTCCACCATAGTGCTACAGAGCCATGGCAGTGGTACAGGACTAAAGGTCTGTAAGCAGTTGGCAAGGGAAAGCATGACATCTCTTTAAGGGGATAATTAGTCCTCCCTTTTCTCTAGCATGTCTCCAGGTGAGCCAGATTTCCTGGACAGGAATTGGATAGGTTCCTGGCAAGATGATTGATAGACCAATCAGGTTAACTATTTAAAGAAGGAGATAATAGTATGACTACTTTGGGTAGCATAGAATGCTGGGTCTCTACCCAGGTTCACACATGAAACTTAGATAGTATCTTTTGACCTGAAGGAAATAGATTTGCCTTAGTGGACCTCAACGAAGCCCAGGTACCTCCAACTTTTATGTGGTGACTTAAATACTAAAGGCAGTTGTGATACTTTCATTTCAAACATTACCAAAGAAACCAAAGAGAGAGGTCTAAAGTCCATGAGTGAGGTGTAGATGAATTTCTAAACAGTCTTATTAAATAAGAAACACAGCCAAATACAGAGGTGCAAGCCGTAGAGATCAGAGCAATAGCCGCCAACTAACCTTAGCTTACCACCTCACCGTGGCTTCCCTGCCTAACCTGTGCCTTTATTGCCTTCCTGTTCTGCCTTCTCATTGGCTCTAAGCCCAGCCACATCACTTCCTTGCCACTGCCTGTCTATACAGACCTCCAGGTCTCTATGGTTGGTACTGGGATTAAAGGCATGTGTCACCACGCTTGGCTGTGTCCTTGACCACACAGAGACTCGGCCTGCCATGTGATCGGATTAAGGGCTTGTGCTACCACTGCCTGACTTTTGTTTATGGCTACGACCTCTGATCTCCAGGCAAACTTTATTTATTAACATACAAATAAAATATCACATTTCAACACAAATAGACTATCACCACAGTGAGGGATCCTTCCTCAATGTGTTCCAACCCTCTTAAACCTGTATAGCTACCTAGCAATTGACTGCTTCTCCATTCATTACTCCTCTTTTTGCCATCAGTCCTACAAAATGTTCCCAGGCCAGCAGCTTGATGGTACCTCATTTCTTAGGACCTGCTGATACAGATCTCTCTCTCTCTCTCTCTCTCTCTCTCTCTCTCTCTCTCTCTCTCTCTCTCTCTCTCTCACTCTCAATAAAAGGGAAATCACCAATCAAACACATGGCTTTTTTGGTATCATGAGTTTCCTCACACTACCTCTTCAATGGACCATGGGTTGTAGAGTCATTTTTCTTGGTCAGAAAAGTATGGTGTGTTGAGGCCAACTATGGCATCCTGTTCACCTCATTTTGTATATGCGTGTGTGTGTGTTCCCCATAGTGGGTCCACCTGATTACTTTCTCCTCTGTGCTTCAATGTAGAACAGGAATTGTGGGAATTTCCTGATACCCGATTTCCATACTCCTCATCCAGAAGTGCCTGAGGTCTAATTTGGTGTCTAGTACTGTGCTGGTGTGCTGTAGGCCTTCTGTGCACTTCTCTTCTGGGCTCTAGTGTCACGTCTAGGTTCCAGCCTGTTCACACTAAAGCACCCCATAGTCTCCCAGCTTACCCGTCAGGACCAATTGGTTCTAAACTGTTTCATCTTTCTTACTTCCTGGATGAACATGACTTGTCATCACACTTAATTACTTGGGTTTGGATACAGAATAGCCCCATTGTCCATGCATTAATGACTTGACCGTGGGGTTTCACCATCATGAGGTGATTGCAACTTTGAGAACATGTGACTTTGTGGTAGGTAGGTCCTTAAGTTACTGAGGACATAAACTCAAAGGTGACATGGGACCCAAAAACCATATTCATTTTCTTTACTTCTTCGAGTAACTTGAGCAGTTTGCTCTGCCACATGCTCCCTACAACGATCATCTGGTGTAGTATGAATCTTGAAAGTTCTAATTAATAAAAACAAATCTGGAGCCAGGTATTGGAGTGAACGCTGAATGATCAGAGAAGCAGAACAAGCTACAGCTACCTCATCTTGCAAATTCCTTAGCTGATCCTGGTTCCTCAGACTGGATGCCTCTGAGTCCTCATCCAGAATGAATCTCAGCTGAACTGCTGCTCAAAAGCCTAAAAGCTTAACCAGCCAAATACTTCTAGTTTCTGGTCTTCACGCCTTATGTATCTTTCTGCTTTCTGCCATCACTCCCTGGGATTAAAGGCTCACTTCCTGGGATTAAAGGCATGTGAGTCACCATTCCTGACTGTTTCCAGTGTGGCCTTGAACTCAGAGATCCAGGTGGATTTCTGCCTCTGGAATGATAGGATTAAAGGCGTGTGCTACCACTACCTAACCTCTATGTTTAATATTGTGGCTGTTCTGTCTCTGACCCCAGA